CCGACCCGAAACAGCAGCTTTCCTGCTCCTCTGATGCTGCCTGGCCTGCTGTGTTCCTCCAGCTCCACACTGTATTATCTCTGACTCCAGCATTGGCAGTTCTTGCTATCTCTGGAAAGGGTGGGACTTGAACACAGGCTTGCTGAACCAGACGTAGGGTCACCACAACTGCACCACAAGAGTCCTTTATAAACTTAATTTCCACCAGTTGCCGTGATGGAATTTAAACCCATGCCCACAGTATTAGACTGGGCAGCTGGATTACTGTATCATTACCACTGCGCCACTATCTCCTCATTACCAGACTTTGGATAGTTCTAAGAGAAGTCATGACAGTCATCTACTTTTCATAAAAATCACTTGACAAGTTCCCTCATGATCTGACACAGCCCAATGAAAGAAGTGGACAACAACACTTTCCTGCCCACTGCTTGCACTTATTCCTCCTTGGGCAAGTCAGCAGGGTCAGGAAGGGAGGTGATAGACTGGCTGCAGGATATATGCGCCATTTTGTTTGCAATTCAGGACAAAAAAAATTGGCTCAATACTTCAGTTCAAAACAAAACCAAGGCTGAAACTGAGAGATTGAATTCCAGATGCAATGTTAAACCAAGGTCTGTCTGCCCACTTAGGTACTCGTGAAAGATTCCAGCACACAATTTCGAAGGACAGCATGAAAACTATCTCTCTTAACCTAACCAATATTTATCTCTCAAAGAACACTAACACAAAACAGATTTGTGGTCACATTGCTGTTTAAAGGAGCTTGTTGCAGACAAATTGGCTGTAATGTTTCTTATGTTATACAGCTATTACACTTCAAAAGTATTCATTGCTTGTAAGGGACTTTGGAGTTTCCTGTGGTTTTGAAAAGTGCTATTCAAATACAAGTCTTTTATTGCATCGAAGTGCAAAGTTTTACTGGTGGCTCTGAAATGTTTTACATTTTATAGCTTGTGTCGTTACAGCTACCTGGTTAGTGACATTACATTTCGTCAATATATGCACTATTGAAGAGCTTTAAAATGCATTCTTCATCTATAATTGAATCCTCCTTTAAGCTGAACATTTTTCTCAAACAAAAATCTTGTCTCCTCCATTGAAATCATAAGTTACTTAAAAAAAAACCCAATCGTTCTTCTAGTTCAAGAGACCAGGTAAGAATCAAGCTAAAATATACAAGACAACCCTCTATAAAACAGTTTTGGGCATCCTTACTCTGTTTCTAGTTGTAATTGGTCCCTTCCAAAAAAATTTCAGACTAAATTGGTGGTCATAGTTCAAAAAAGCAAAAGAAGAGATGATATGAAAAGTTTCATAGTTGAAATACTTTCACAGATCAGATTAATCTGCAAGAGATTTTGTTTACTGCAAATACGCGCCTGCCTGTTGCACATTTTAAAAAAAGAGTTTAAGAATAGACAACTGTTGCTACTTTCTGATGCAATGGTTAAGTAGGAGTAAGAGAATTACAGAATTACCTTGGCAAACACGGTTTTCACATAGATTGGTAGATCTCCATGAGGGCTTCCATGTCCTCCAACAATACTGAACCCTAGTCCATCTGGTCCTTTCTCTAAAGTTATGTTTGTACACTGTGGATGTCTGACAATGAAAGTACAGCTTATTCATTTGTTCATGTACACTTTTTAGTCTGTATTGTTATAATATTGTATATCTGATGGGGCATGACACATTTTAACAAATTTAAAGATGGGACAAAACCTGAAAAAGAACACATTACATCTTCCACCAACAGCAATCTGATTATTTATACCATAGAAGTCATACTTTTGCTTTGCAACCTAGCAATGCACTGGCACATCTCAGATGGCACTGGTCATAAACATACTATGGGAGAATGAAGAGTTAGCAAACAATGCAAAGCAAAATCTTTTTGCAATACACATGGACATTTAAACGAGACTTTTGTTTGCTGCAGGCAGACCAGCTGCTCACTCATTTATTGGTTTATCTGAAAATTTCATCCTCATGCATTATGAAGTGACGAAGATTTTGTATGATAGTAAAAACTATTGTCAAGTTTCTCAGACTGAGGCTGAAATTGGGAAAGAAACCTTATAGTATAGCTATAAACTTTTCATTTTTAATCTTGCTCTGAAAATAATAGCTGTGGCTTATGGTTAGAACTTAATCCAATATGGTGAAATAAGCCACCTACAAGGAATTTTTTTTTTTCACACAGTGAATGCTTAGGATATGGAATGCACTACTTCAGAATGTGATAGAAGCAGGGGCAACTCATGCAATCAAGAGGGAATTGGATTGTTATCTGGAAGGAATGAATGTGGAGGATTACGGGGAGAAGTTGGGAAGCAGGACTAGGTAAATTGTTCTAAAGGAGACTCAGCGCTGACATGATGAGTTAAATAGTTTTCTTCAGTGTTCCAGAAATTCTGTGATGGTATGCCAGCCTTGCTAATTTGGTAACATTCTCTCTTCTGGGCCAGAAGTTTGTCTCAATCTCTACTCCATGACTTCAGCACATAATTAAGTTTGTTGCTTCAATGCAATCCTTTTGGAGAACATTTTAAACTGCACAGTTGGTTGCTGACAGGGTACAGATCATGCAATGCATTCATGGCACTATTCAAAGAGCAAGGAGTTGTTCTATTGGCTAACGTAAATTTCTATCTTTAACCATTACGCTAAAATCTGGCAATTTATATCAGCGATATCATTTTACAAATAATTTTTTGACTGTAAAGCACTTTGGAATGTCTAGAGGTTTTGACAACCTTAGTATAAAAGCTAACAGTTCCACTTGCAGTTTGCAGGAACTTTCTGGACCCTATTTTGCTTCAATATACGGTCGCATAATAATTCTGATTCATTTCAGTCGAAATTAATCACAACACATCATTTGCAAATTCTTTCTACTCTACTGTTCTTAGACTGCTCATTAAAGCTTCCTTTTTAATCACTGAATAACATCTCTAATGACATTTGGATGTTTGCATTAATATACTTCTGTCTGTTAAGCTGACTGTGAGCAAAGTAAGCTGTCTATTTAAGAGACAAACAATTGAAATCCCACATGAATCAAGAGAATTGCAGATGTGAGACAAACACAGTAATAAGAGACAGGTGACAGGGGAGCCACAAAGGCATCAACTGACCTTTGTTTTTTCACATTGCACATAACTTTCATTTAATCTAGCTTGCTTGTTCAGCTAATGCTGTCTTGTTCTGCTACTTGAACTATTCTGCCACTCAGTTGCTATCAACAGTTTGCCATTCAGGCACACTCACAGTGGCACACTGTGTAACAGAAAAAAAAAACTTATGTATTTTAATTATAAGTGCTGCATAGTTTCTGAATACCCTGTTCCTTACATAATTACCCTTGATAGAAATCAATTTAACAAAACATTGTGGAAGACAGAACTTTTGCATGCATGAAAAACCATTTAAAAGTCTCATCTTTTAACAAAACAATTTATAACACCCATGATTTAGCATGGATTGTCACACATTCTCACAAGGTCTGAGCTGATTTGCCTCAAACTTACTCAGGTTCTTCTGGTCGAATGTCAGATGGGGAGTTCAAGTTGGAACCAGTTGACAAATTTTCAAGCTGACTTGCAATAGCAGTGATATTGGTGTCAGCTATGACCTGAAAGTAAAACAAAAGGATTCAAATTGTTTAAAAGCAAGAAAGACAAATGACTGAGAAAGGTGGATGAAAAGTGTCATCTACAAGAAACATTTCAACACTTAAATTAGGTCATTCTTGGCAACATAACTTGCCGGAACATCTGACTTTGAATAAAAAAATCATGACTTGATTACCTGCTACCTTGGGGACCTGCCGCTTAAGCTACATTGCTGTGAAAGATGTTAAAAAGAGAGACTTAAATTTTTGAATGTCAAAGATTCCCAAAGTGCTTCAAATGAGAAATTGAATGCTATAGAATGATATGCAAAATACGTAGAACAAGTATTAAGTAAGCCATATGTTACATTTTTAAATCTTCACATAGACTCATTGAGCTGTACAGCATGGAAACAGACCCTTTGGTCCAATTCATCCATGCTGACCAGATATCCTAAATTTATCTGGTCCCATTTGCCAGCATTTGGCCCATATTCTTCTAAACCATTCCTATTCATATACCCATCCAGATGCCTTTTAAATGTTGTAATTGTACCAGCCTTCACCACTTCCTCTGGCAGCTCATTCCATACACGCACCACCCTCTGTGTGAAAAAGTTGCCTCTTAGGTTCCTTTTAAATCTTTCCCCTCTCACCTTAAACCTATGCCCTCTCATTTTGGACTCCCCCACCCTGGGAAAAAACCCTGTCTATTTACCCTATCCATGCCCCTTATGATTTTATAAACTTCTTTAGCCCTCAACCTCCAACGCTCCAAGATAAATAGGACCAGCCTATTCAGCTTCTCCCTATAGCTCAAACCCTCCAAACCTGGCAACATCCTTATAAATCTTTTCTTTACCCTTTCAAGTTTCACAACATCCTTCCTCTAGCAGGGAGACCAGAATTGCACACAGTATTCCAAAAGTGGCCTAACCAATATCCTATACAGCTGCAACATGACCTCCCAGCTCCTATACTCAATGCACAGAGCAATAAAGGCAAGCATACCAAAATACCTTCTTCACTACCTTGTCTACCTGGGACTCCACTTTCAAAAAACGATTCACCTTAAAAATTCTTAATCTTGTGGGCTGGCCTACCATGAAGGATCTTGTCAAATGTCTTGATAAAGTTCATGTGGACAACATCCACTACCCTACCTTCATCAATTGTCTTTGTCATTTCCTCAAAAACTCAAATTTGTGAGACAAGATCTCCCCTGCACAAAGAAGGATAGTTACAGATTGCAAACAGATCATTTCTCAAGTAAAATGCTGTAAGTGGAGAGTAATTACATACTAATGATGTATATAAAGTCAAGACACCACTTCTCAGTCACTTACAGAACTGCAGTATTAGGGTGCAAACTAGGGATAGTGGTATTGCAGCCCCCTGGAGGAAACATATTTAATAACTGCAAGTTATTGCTTCTCTTATTGATTGAAGCAGCTCAGTTATATTGGTGATATTATCGTCAAGTGTGAGTTATTAGTTGTTAAGTACCACTTAGAAATTAGGTTTAATTGTAAATTGCACTACATGCAACATATTTGTAGTGTGGTTCCAACCAGACCAAGATTGCTTCTGTCCTATTTGTAGAAAACAACTCCATAGTCCTGAGATAAATAAAGCTTCCTTTAACAATTGTCATATATGATTACAGGTATTAGCTGTTTAATTCATATGCAATACTGTTATGCCTGTAACTAACATCATACATTTCAATTCTCAACAGATTCAGTACATATGACCTATTGCAAGCATGACTACTGCTCAATGATAATTGAGCTGAAGTTACGACAACAATGGGCTAAATTTTACCATGGATTTTGAGACTTCAGTGTCAGAACACACTGATGGTCACGCACGACAGCAATTTTGCTGGTGGTGATCTCCAAAGTATCTACCTCAGGGCCTGCTCTCTCATTAAGGAGAGCCCCTGATGCTGCTGCACAAAGGGTTGGGAGCTCTGGTACCTCAGCAACACCACTGGGAAAGATGGGTGCCGTGGAGGCAATTAAGTAGAAATCATAAATTCAGGAGGCTATGTCAATCAAAGGGGAAAACTTACCAAGGGAATTGTTGGGACCTCGTGTACAATTCCATGCACAATACCCCCTTTCCTAGCTGCAAGGATTGAAAGGCTGCTATATAAATGCAACCAAAGACAGCCACTGGCCACTGCTGGTGGCCCTGTAAATGGCCCCAAATTGGCCCACCTTTTTTCCACTAGACATTTCTCCTGAGGCAAGACTACATTGGGGAACAATCCTGAAATTGATGCCCCTTCCTGCCACACCCAGGGTCAAGTAAAATGCCAACATTTTTTGTCTTCAAAGCTCAAACCTGATTTTGCATTCATAAAACTGACCAGGAATGTGTGAAGATAATTGAAGTTCTACATTACGTGAATTTCACAGTATCAACAATAATAATGAGTTTACACGTGCATACATTTAACAATAATAAATATGACTTTAAAGTAGCTGTCTATCAGTGATCGTGCACAGCTTTGCCACTTTCAGATTGCATTTGTCATCTTCCCCAATGTCAGTTGAAGATCCACAGAGGCCAAAAATGCAAACACTGCCCATCAGTCCCAGAACTGTCGGTCCAGTGGCATAAGAAACTCATCTCTTACTGTGCAGCTCGATGAGACTGGAGACACAGTACCACTGGTTTCAGTTACAGTGCCATTACTAGACCTGAATTAGATACAGTAGCAAATGCCCTGTCACATCATAACTTCTGCACATTTAATTAAATTTACCTTGTATTGCATAATTTCTTCTTCTCTCCAAAATTACTGAGAGCAGCTCTTTTTCACACTAACATAGGAGACTTGCACAGCCAAACTATCCCCAAGAATACTTAGTTTTGCTGCAGTTACATGTGTACACAATGACATGTTCTCTGGAGTTTAGGCTGAGATCATTATCATTCAATAGTAGCTGTTTTATTTTGATATGTGATCAAGAGATAAGGAAAGACATCCTACAGAACAGCACTAACAGATTAAGCAGGTATGCTTCAGAGTAACACCGTATTATGAATGCAACATCACACTTATACGTGGCACTGTGGCTCAGTGGTTAGCACTGCTGCCTCGCAGCGTCAGGAACCTGGCTGTGATTCTACTTTTGGGAGACTGTCTGTGTGGAGTTTGCACACATTCTCCCAGTGTACACATGGGCTTCCTCTGGGTGCTCTGGATTCCTCTCTCAGTCCAAACGCGTGTACATTAGGTGGATTGGCTGTGCTAAATTGTCCATAGTGTCCAAGGATGTGTAGGCTAGGTGGGTTAACCATGGGAAATGCAGGGTTACGGGGATAGAGTAGGGGGTGGGATGCTCTTTGGAGGTTGGTGTGCACTCAATGCCAAATGGCCTGTCCCATACTGTAGGGATTCTAAATTGATTTCCTGTAGTGTAAACAAAATTTAAAGCTTTCAATTCTACTATCATCACCCCAAGAAAATTTACTTATTTTCCATCAATGGATGAGAGATAATGTATGGTATGTTATTTATCATAAATAGTCTACAAAAAAGTGTGAAGTACTTACAGTTCAGTAAAAACAACAGATACACAAGTAAATTATTGCTGGACACATTAGTCTTTATAATATGCTCATTAAACTTCCATGGTATATATCACAAAGGGATTTTGCCAAGAAATGAAGGAAATTAAATATGAACAGAAGCTGAACCATGGTGCGATGTTTGGAGATGCAATTAAAAGCTTGGTTAGAAAGAATGCTTTTAAAGATAGATGGAGAAATGAAGAGATGGAAGGGCTTAGGAGGTACACAAAGTATATGAGAGAAGCTGGTCAATTCCACTACTGAAGTGAAGCACAGATAGGATGATAAGAAGCTGAAGTTGGATAAGAGGGTGCAGAATGGGAATGTGGCTGGTGGAAACTACTGAGATTGGGTGGGTCAAAGATGTAAAATGAACTCAAATTCAATACAGGATTGGCAATGTGTAACAATTATGCAGGATAGGCTTTTGGATGAATCAAAGTTTATGGAGCATGAAACACGGAAGCAGCAGAGTATTGGAGAAATTGAGCATACTGTTCAATAAAAACGTGAATAAATATGGTGGTGAGTTTAAGGTGGGAGAAACAGTGGACACATTTGCTAACATGGGGGCAAGCAATTTTGGCAGTGGATAAGTTGTGGGATTTGAGCAGGACTCCAAGATTTTTCCAGTCTAGTCCAGGTTCAACAAGGGAACAAGACAACTGAGTTGGGACTAGAGCTCATGTCAAGTACTGAAAAAAAGAGTTTTTGTCATTTAAATTGATAACAGTAATTTTTTCCACATGATTCATGCAACAGATCCTGTTAAGTTTTAAAAAATACAACTTACAGAAACAAAAAATGAAAATCAAATATTAACACCAGTAAATAAATGAATTGAGTAAACATAATTAACATTGTCAAGATTTTTGTTTATTTTTGATTTCAGAAATATGATCCCCAACAGACTGATTACAAAAGCAAGATAGAATTAGTGTGTAAAGGGTAAAAATGTTTTTCAATGGGCAAAGAGGTTGCTTTTAGCAGAGCTGTGTGGTTTGTACACAACACAGTTGACAAACACCCTCAGCCTTTCCTTATCTCAATACTACACCTGCTATACAAACAGATTAAATCATGCAATAAGCAAGCAAGCCTACAGACACTGGGTTTTGAAGGTGGTAATTGCTCCCTAGAGACCCTAATCTTTAGTTAACACAGTATTTAAAAATTCTTTTAACATCCTATTGAAGAGAGACAGATAATCAACCTACATTCTTGTCATTTGCATGAATAAATGTATTATCTGACCTTCTGGTTTAGGATATGGCTAGAAAGCTGATAACAAATATGTGTTGTTAACTAATGACAAGCTACTATGGATTATCTATGAAATACATACACTTCAGAACAATTGTAGAAAATTTTAAACGCTGCACCAAACACTCCTGATTAAAGTCCTGTAAAACATATGACTGTAGTGCTGCTCTAAAGACCTGTAGAAACATTGTATTTAGGGTGCTCTGCAGCTTTGTTCATTTAACCTTACACTAATGTGCTGACATCAGTGGGCTCCTCTGCCCCACGAGTTTTAGTAATGTGAAAAATGTAACTTTATCCCACTTACTCTCACTTCTTTAATAAGCAATGTTAAGGGTATTATTGTTTGATAATCATTCAGGGAGGATGAGGCTGGCACACCATTCTGCAGACAGGGAAATGTGTTTTGTACAATTATGATTGTACACATTTGAGAACTCAACATAGTGCTATTCAAATGCCAGTAAAGACTGTGTGAATGAACAGGTGGGTGGGTGTTTGACTGTGTGGTTTAGTGAGTGAATGAGTCAGTTAGATTAGTGGTGTAGTGAGTGGCTGAGTGGGGCAGTGAATGGGCGAGTGGATATGTGAGCGAGTGGGCAGGTGAGGAAGGGGGTCCATGAGTGGGTGAACAAGTCAGTGATAGGGTTGGTCAGTTGCAGGGAGGGTGGATGGATGAGTAGGTGAGTGGTAAGTCGTCAGGAAGGTAGAAGGGTGGTGATAAGGGAGTCAGCAGGAGATAGGAAGGTGGGTGGATGGACAGGACAGTGGGAGGGTAGGATGGTGGGGATCATGAGTCAGTGGAAAGGTAGGTGGTTGAAAGTGTGTGAGATAAGTTGGGCGGTAGTTATGTCTGGGGTGGGTGAGTTTGAGACAGTGTAGATGGGTGAGTCAGTGGGTGTTTGGTCAGTGGGAGGGCAGGTAATTCCATAGGCTTACCCAGATGACTCCACTGGACCCTGAAGACGAGTGGGGTGGAATGGGTGTTACGAACAGGGGTTGGCCTGGGTAGGGTTTGGCAGCATGGGCATGGTTTGCCTGGCAACTTTGGAGAAAGGAAATGTGTGCATTAAATCCCTAAGTCGCCACTAAATTTCAGTAAGCTCAGGGATAATCAGTGTCAAGTGGTTCATAAGGAACATAATGGTGTCAAACTGCTAGTGGATGGGATTCCCATCTCAGGGTCTTCTCGCATTAACTGGGGACATGTTCCAGACAGAAGGAACACATACAGGTACTCCTCCCTGACTCTCCAGGGAATCCCCTGCTCCCATTCTAGTGGGCTGCACTAGGTTTTGCCTATTGTCAAGATTCATCAGGAATGTTCTGCTTGGATGAAATCTGGAATGTCTGCAGAAACTATTGAAGCAATATGGTCAGGGCCTTCAGTAAAGAAAGGCAAAATGTGGGTGCACAGCTGTGAGAGCAGCAATTTGATCAGTGAGAAATTCTAGTTATGATTGCCATTGAATGAGTGTCTTTACACTTTCCATATTCTTGATTTATTTGGTATACGTTTCACTGAGAGCAGACATATATTAAACCACTGATTTAAGTGGTTGTATAATTTGTGCTGGGGCTACATAATTGCATTTGCCATTGCTTCTGCTACAAAATTCTATACAGACACCAGAAAATTCTCTCATGGATCAGTTTGTTAACCTACATAAGTTGTTAAATTGAGCACAGCATATGTTTGCATCGCTACTTGTTGTATTATTCTTCTATGAAGATTTTATTGAAAATGCAATTATAACCAATAAAGCTCAAACCAACGATTTCTGTTATTTTAAAATACAGTTGTTATCTGCAAAGCTTTATCAAACAAATAATAGGATGTCTCATTGACAATGGATTTTTTTAACAGAGATTTCACTTCTAATCTATTATTATAAGATTCATTACATACGTTAAAAAATGCAGCCCTCTATATTATTTTTGCTATGTTTGCATTTAAATCATTAGAGCAAGAGTTCAGCTGCTATTACTATTGACTTTTTGATAAAAAAATACAAGACATCATTGAAGAGCAAGAAAAACGCATCTTAGGGCCAAAAGGCATTATTGTTCAAGTGTCATCGTTACACTTGTTAGAATTCATAGAAGTGTGCACATGATCATTAGGACTGTGATGTGGGTGGCACTGAAATATCTAGATACCAACAGATCTAAAAATTGCCAAATCCTGAGAGATTCATACAAACTGGAATCCTTATCCCCTCTTTGACATGGTAATGTTTGCCAGCAGTACTCGACAGCTTTTGAATGAGAGTTATCTACTGGATGCAGCTGCTAGAGCCATTATCTCAGTACCTGAAGGATAATGCTTCCGTAGGCATTCTTCAACAGATTAACTGCTTCCGCATGAGACAGTCCGTCCAAGGGTTGGCCATTAATGCTGACAATCCGATCCCCAACCTAATATTAAAAAAGCTAATTAATTGCGAGTGAAATTAATTTCAAATAGGAAGTTAACACTTTCAGAACAGGAAAACAGCATTTTACACATTTTGAATTGGGTAAAAATACCAATTTGTTAACAAGTTTTATTGTAATTAACTATTCATCAACACTAAAGGAACGGTTTTTCTGAATTAAGCTTGTGGCACAATGTGTTTCAGTCATCAGTATACATAATGACAATAATTTCCCAAACTATACTCCCAGAAAGTAAGGTTGTGTATTTTGGAAGTGTGCATTGGAAAGCTTTGTTTCTAAAACTAATTTAAAACAAGCCCCTCTGAAAATAAGATACCAACACCACTTAAATCTAATGATTTGTTTTAATCCATAAAAATCATTGCAATTATGAAGAAGTTGGTCGAAAGTTCTTTATAACAAAATTGACAGTGATCACATGAATCACTAGCAATAGGCTACAACAGTAACATATAGCAGGGTCTATAACAGTTAAATACTTGCTGTGCAATTTTTCTCAAATACGCAAAAAACAAATAACAGGTTTGCATTTTTGTTGAATCATAGAATCCCTAAAGTGTGGAAACAGGCCCTTTGGCCCAACAAGTCCACACCGAACCTCAGAGCATTCCACCCAGACCCATCCCCCTATAACCCACCTAAGCTACACCTCCCTGAACACAATGGGCAATTTAACCTGGCCAATCCACCTAACCTGCACGTCTCTGGACTGTGGGAGGAAACCGGAGCACCCGGAGGAAACCCATGCAGACACAGGGAGAATGTGCAAACTCCTCACAGACAGCTGCCTGAGGCTGGAATTGAACCCGGGTCCCTGGCGCTGTGAGGCAGCAGTGCTAACCACTGTGCCACCGTGCCAATTTTTATTGCACCTGAGAACTGCATGAGCAAATCAATAAGGAGGATATGGGTGACAGAAGCCTGATGAGTCAGGTCCTTACTCCAGCTACACAGATTTGGGATTTCCAAGGAATTACCTTTATGGTTTATAGTAGGACAATGTTTGCAAAAGGTACAGGCCCAGCCTAACATTCTAATGGTGCAAAATGGGGCATTCCTGGCATTATGCCCGATTTTTCTGCTCATCAGTCTTTTAGGACTGAAAGCCTGCCATTGGGATATACGCTAGCACTTTGCAAAAGGTTCCATGTGCAGTTCAAAGATGATAGGGAAATAAGTGGTACGACAATTTTTTTTTAAGGATATTGCCATCCCACAGGATCTTTGTAATCAGGCTATCTAGTGCTGTAATTTAGAAAAACAGCTGGAGACCTCTTATACTTGCAGCGAGACTCTCAGTCTGTTTATCCTACATTCAACTCCATGCTAATGCAGTGCCATGATGGGGAATGCAACTGGACCTGTAAACTATCTGGGTGTAAAATAAATTCTGATGCTTTCCGACTTTCACTGTATTAACAAATACCACACATCATCCCATGATTTTTGTATGATATCAGATCTACATAGTTTATCATTTTAATTGTACATAACAGTGCATTTTGAGAACAGTGGGTATTAGTCTACTCAATCATGAAGCACATAGCAAACTACTTTCCTGAAATATCTTTAATATAGTAAAGAAGTATAACTTTTTTTTAAGAAATGCTCCTACTAAGGAAATAATTAGCTTTTTCCTGCCTTTTCCCAAAAACATTTAGTAGTTTTGAACTCTTAATGTCCAACTGTAGCTCTTTATCACCACCACCACTAACCCTTCATCTTTGCATTACGATTTTGTCTTTTTGTATGAATATGAAGTCGTGCATTCTATAGGAACCAGTCTTGAGGAACGCAGCCAATATATTGGTCACACATTTCCTCAGAGATGCTTCAGTTTGACCACAATAACTATGCTGGAAGTGTGCCAAAACAGTGCATGCCATTGTATAAAGTATGTATACACAGAATATTTGTTGACAGATTTTCATCTTTTGGTATGAGAAGTTGTGTCATCACCAAGTGCTTGACTGACAACTGGCAAGATTGCAAAATGTGAGATTTGAGGCTGCCAAGGAGATTCGTTTCACAAAATGCTGCAATGAGCCATTGTTTAATATTTAGCTCTAAATTATTAAATGCTATCCGTGTAATGTAACGTAAAACATGGGCCCAGATGTTCCAGTCAGTGGCAATGCTCTGCCCATTGTCATTGCCCATTGATGAGCTATTGATTAAAGCAAGAACAGAAAGCCTCAAAGAAGCTACAGAATGCAACATAACTTTGATAAGAGATAGCAATTTGTTTATAAATGTATGTTATCATTTAGTATTTCAGTTTTAAGATGCCCAAGACTTTTTCTCTGCCCCAAGTTGAATTGCCTATTTTTAACTGGGTCTTCTGATCCTGGATGAAGAAGAAATGGGCCAGTGTACCCTCTCTAATGCAAGTCCAGTGGGTGCGAGATAGTCAAATGGAAGATAGGACAGGCCCTCTTTTACATAGCACTGTTGACTGTTTTCAGGTAAATTTTTTCTAAGAAATGAATGGATTGATGAAGGTATATTGAGTGGGTGGGTGGAGGGATGAGTAAGGGAGTGGGTGAATAAGTTAGTGGGTGTTGTGGTTGTATGGCCGTCAGGTTGGTGGGGTTATCAGGTGGAGTGAGCAGTTGGTTAGAGAGAGTCTGGTAGCGTGGGCTGGGCACTCTGGTGTGGAGTATTTGCATAGGGTTGGGTAATTGCTTTGGAGGGGTGGTGGGAAAAGAGTTAGATTGGGTCAGGACGGGATTATTGTTGGGGGGGGGCGTGGGGAAGGGGTGTAATTGGTTTGTTGTGGTGCAGTTAGGTTACTAATTTCTGAGTCAATTCATTTATTAACCAGTGTATCACTTTCTAGCTAAGTATCCAAGTAAGTGCCACATTTCTGACTAGGTCTCCAACACGGAACTTGGTATCGGAGACATTTGTGAGGGGTGCTGTCAGCCTGCTGGAAGTTTAAATTTTCTGGGCAATTACAAGACATGCACATGTCAGATCTTCAGTCGAGTTCCAATATGCAATACAGACACAAGTCTAGATTTTGCTGCTCTGGATATTCAAAATTTTGGCCATGGTTTTGAAATGTATTAGGATCTCTTATTCAGTTTACTACTTTACCTTCAAGTTAAATACCTGTTTAACTTGGTGACTAAATTTGCTTTTTCAGCCATGCAATGACACTGAACTGTGGTCAGGCACTTGTGCACAGGAAAGAAGAGAAATGCAAAAATCATGCTTTGCACTTAGCTGCACATTTTTAGCGCAACATTTTGAGGAGTATAGATGTAGGTTGCCTGCAAGATGTTTTAATTAGAGATGGTGCAGACGGTTAAAGTGGAGAAAGATACAGTGAAAAACAAAAATTCAGTTTAACTTGTTAGGATTGGTAATATGAAGTATGACTTTTTTTTTAAGAAACCTGCTGCCAGACTAATTTGAAACAAAATATAGAACAATTAAAGAATGAGCATACAAAACTGAGCAATTGGCTTAACTTTGAATTATGCATTAAAACAGCATCACTAATGGCCAAGTGCCCGGTTTCACAACTGAAAAAAAACTTCACCATTTTTACTGGATCAAGTACAGTACTTTTATTGCAAATAATTAAATATACTGTATTGGTTTTTATGATGTGGTTCAGTACCAGGTCAAGGACGCCACCTGTTGTCTGTTAATGCCCATATCCCAAATTATTTATTTGCATGGCTTAACTCTGTCCTGCATTAGTTCCTTACGCCTGTTCCTTTGTTACATGCACAGGTCTTTTCTCACCTATATTGATAACATTGTAATCAACTAGTGCATTATGCTCTAAGTAACAGGTGGATTTTGCCCAAAATTTAAAGAGATTGGTAAAACAAGTAACCAGCAAAGAGTGGTGAATAAAGAATGTGGGAAGTCACTTGTGCAAAGAGAATTAGAATGGAAGAAAGGAATAATTTTACCAACAGAAATAAATAGAGGATGAGCCACTGATTAATGCATAGACAGAAAGATGTAAGGAAACAACAAAAAAGAAACCAACTTTAACAGGAGATTATAACTTGTTCATAAATGCAGGTTATTGTTGAATATCCGAGTTTGAAGATGCCTGAAGCAATGACAAATTATTCATTTAAGTGTTTAAGAAGAGAGATCTGGAGGTGGGTAACATTTACAACAAGGTTATCAATGGAATAGATGTGCTGAGGGCAACAGTTAATTCTGGATGGCTTAACATTTTTAAAGGGATGGAAAATCTGAAAGTTGAAAACAGCAAGCACATGGTTGTGGCATCTTTATGTGATTTTCTGTTGGTAAAATTCAGGCAATAGCGGCAAGAGTAAAAGTAATTACTGGTCTTAATTATGTTTAAAGTGGAGAGATCAGAGGGAAACTGTAAAAGTTCATGCTGGGATTTGCCCACTTTCCTTGAAATTGAGCATACTTAGCAGCACTTCTCTATACCTTGTCTTTACACTCAAGCAAAAAACTTAAATTTTGCATAAGTTTTATCTGTGGTTAATTAACCATCTTAGAGAAGTGAATCAAGTCGATAAAACCTTCACAGACCAAATAGGTCAATTCCACACTGGGACAAGCTAGATTTCTGGGATGGCTAGCCTTTGCCCTTTCCATAGTTGCTTACACTTCTAAATTGGAATGATAGAAGTGTTTGAACAATACAATAATTAGTAAGAAAATGACACTATAATTTAAAATTTAACAAACAAAAATAGAATCTTTTTTGTACTAAAAGTATCTGTTTTGCTTCGAGAATCAGTTGGTGTTCCACAATGACGGCACTGATTTTATAATGTTGCATTCAATTATAAACACATGCACCATCAGAAATGAATGTTGCATTGCACTAACTGCTGCAGATTTGCGAAAAGGCAAATGCCATCCTGTTGACCCACCTTTAGCTTTTGAGTCCGTGCTGCTACTCCGCTGGCTTGAATCATGGCGATGAAGATAGGCACATCACCTAGAGGACTCCCCTTTCCTCCTGCAATGCTAATTCCCAATGGATCATTTGGTCCCTGTGACAAAGGTAAATAATTCTGTGAATACTTGGGCAAAAGACAGTTTGAACTGGAAAACAAATCAACCTGTGCTTATGTTCCAAAATGCTTTGGAGCCTGGGTGAGTTTATCCAAACATACATTCTACCCAAAGTTACTCTTTCTGATCAATTGGGTCTAATGTATGGTATCAGCTGTTTCACACAGAGTAAGCTCTGAAAGTGAATTCTAAGTTGAGTCTGTCTGCATGCATGACTTTAAACACAAATGTATGATGTAATATATCACTCATAGCATCTCACTGATGTCAATTTTACTTCCCTTCTGTCCATGAGTGTTGCTTCAGAAAATGATTTGCGCTTTCTGAAACTTGGGAGTCACATCAGCATGATCTTCCTCTGTGAAAATGGTTTTCGATTCAAAACGTAACTTCTGTTTAACAATTAATATAGAGCAAATAAAAATATTGGGTCTCAGCTGAAGCGTCCACTGGATTGTATTACAAGCAAAGACAACAAAACCATTGAGATTTGTAGTTATTATAACAAGGTCAGGCAGGTGAACCTACAGGATATGAGTTCCCTGATTGGGGCTGTTAATCCGGTCCAATCAGGGAGCCCTGGCTGACAGGTAAGAACAGGAGTGTCAGACGTTCTGTTCACTCTGAGAGCTGGCCCTGAGGAAGCTGGATCACTGTCAATGATTCTTCACATGTATATAAAGTTGATTTTCAGTCATGGGTCACAGTACTGAGCTGCAAATCTTTAGCAAAATAGTGAACTAAAAGCAGCAAAATAAGTCTTGTATTGTGACTGCATAAAGAACCAGAAATGTATCCTTGCATCTACTCTCTACCTTTTCTTTTTTGCCTTTCTTCTTTTAAACAATGGCTGTCCCTAAATTCACATTACCAGTGAAAGCTGACAAAAACAACCGGATCTAAAGTTTAAATGTCGGATGTTCATTTGATCGCTGAGTTCCAAGGTTTAGAAAAAAAAAAATCACAAGTTGAAGTGCAAGAATAAACAAAAAATGTCGATAAGGCACAACATGTGAGCATCTGTAAAGAAAAAATATAGAATAAATTTCAGATATAGAAGTGCCAAATGAAAACTTGGTGGTGGCTGAAAGATAGATAAGGCCCATTGGAGGATTGATAGAAGAAAAATAACAGAAAGAAGCAGCAGAAAGACTTCAGGGTGAGGGAGTGAAAGAATAACCAACACAAGTTACCGCTGCATAACACCATCTGCTTTCCTCCAATTCACCCGATTACTTGCTGAAAGCTTTGTACAAACCCATGTGAGTTCCAGACTGGATTACCACAGTATTATTTTCATAATAAGGACCATAGCTCCAAAGAGTTGGGGAGACTTCACAATAGATCTAAAATGGTATAAGAACCTGGATCTGAAGTCTAGCCCCCATTTCTAACAGATCCTATTTTGACAGGTGGGGAATGGGGGTGGGCAATAACTCATATGGGGAAGGCCTAGGTTTTGCAGTACCATTTTGAGATCACTGGCAAGTTCAACAGATTCCATTTTTGCTGGAGTGAGGACATTAATGTGCAGGTGAGCCTTGTAAATTTTAGATGTAAAAATTATAAAAGGCAGTTAATTTCTGTGGAAGTGTCATTTCATGCATTTCCATTGCTCTGATTCCTACTTCTCGTGCAATTTTCCCTATCCCTCACCCTAGTATTGTTCGTTATGAGATCTGATCACTCTTGCTAATCTCTCCTCTGGTTCAGTGTTTCTGCTTTGATTGTCATTTTGTCTCTGATTTTTTTTTAAACGACATTGAATCATTGCCTGCATACTTTAAGTAGTACATAATAAGTTGCACTTACTCTTGTTATTTCCACAGTTCTTAGTCCCGTATCTGAACCTGAAAGTTTCAAAGTGAGATTAAACTCGTTATTAGATGTTATTAGTAGTATTTTATTGACTGATGCTGATAGTAAGTTAAATTATATTTTCCAAACATTCAGAAGCTACAAAATAGCACTAAAAATCATCTTGAGCAGAAAGGTTATGATTCCAAACTTGTAAAGTGCATATTACGGTTTCATAACAGTTTATGCAATGTGCAATCATATTATCTTTTTGTACACATTAAATCATTCAAATGCCACAGGGCAGAGAATAAGCAGATCTTATTTGTGATAGTTCCAATTATTAAAAGCTAATTTTTTCTCTATCATTTTTGCTCTCTCCTTTTCCTTTGAAGAGTAAATATATTGGGCTGAATTTTACCAAAATTTGGCTAAATGTCAATTTCAGAGAGTTTCATGGAAGGTTTCTCGCTGTGAGCTCTAGCAAGTTATCTTACACAATTGCTTGCAGCTCATGTTAACTTATGCATTGTGTTACAATGGCACCTCGCTTGTGCAATTATGCACTCACCAGCAGTGGGAATAGTCACCGCTGCTGGTAATTCCTGGGATTCCAGCTGCAAGACTTTGCTTTGCCTCTCAGCTAATAGTAAAATTAATTTGTCATGTGAATGCTGTGGTTGAGTGGTTTGGGCTAGGATTTTTAGTTGACACAGCAGGCCCATGTGTCAAGTCCACATAGCATTTTGTGATAATAGAAGACCTGCAATGTAGCAAACTGTTTAATTTGAAGGGCATTGCATTGCGCAAAAGTGGATATCCCTTCTTCAAACGAAAAGAAAACTTACTCTGTCCACTGTGTGTGTGCAGTAGCCATTTTCATTTCCATTTTGCTTTTGCAATTTGGATGAGGATGGAAGGCAACACAGGTCTTGCTTCATGGTGTGAGTCACAAGGTTAGCCTCTTCGACTAGGTGACTCCCCAAAACCTTTACGTTCCTTTCTTCCTTGGCCTTCCTGTCAACCCCATTGGCCTTGATCTTTCACATATTCCCACCCAACCATCCATGAGTTTGCTCATCTCCCCGCTTTACCCCATAGTGACAGCCACGCAGTGTCCCTCCCATTTAAGCCAGGATGGTGGTAACCATTGATGAAACATTGCCCCTCCCAGGTTCTCTCATGTCCAAACCTTATGTTGAATTGCCCCTTTCATAATGATTGTCCCCTCTGCACTCCAGCACGCTGTCTCCAATCCTCAGAACTGACATCCCCAGCATCCCACCACACCAGTGATCACCAATAACACACCCCTTGATTTTTAGTGGATAGACCCTTGATTTGACTGTGGCCCAAATCCCCACCAATTTAGAGACTCAGCCCTGACTAATGAGAGACTGGGTCCCTACCCCATTTCTGTGCATCTCTGACTGATGCACCGTGACTCCCTGATCTGATTAACATGGGCCACCCCGGTTACCTTTGAGAAGGTAGTGATTAGCTGCCTTCTTGAACTGCTGCAATTCAAAATTCCAAGTCAGGATGATGAGTGGCTTGGAGGTGCAGCTGCTGGCATTCCCATGTATCTGCTGCCTTTGTCCTTCTGAATGGAAGTGGTCCTGGGTTTGCAAGATGCTGTATAAGGAGCCTTCGTGAAGTTCTGCAGTTCATCTTGTAGATACTGCTCACTGCTGGTACTAGGTCAGTAGTGGAGGGATTAAATGTTTGTGGATATGGTGCTAATCAAGCGGGCTGCTTTGTCTTGAACAGTGTCAAGCTTCTTGAGTGTGGTTGGAGTTGTACTCATCCAGGCAAGTTGGGAGTATCCCATCACACTCCTGATATAGGCCCTGTAAATTGTCAACAGGGCTTTGGGGAGTCAGGAAGTCAGCTTATAGTTCAGTTCAGATTCTGGTCAATAGGAACCCCAGGATGTTGACAGTAAGGGACTCATTCAGTGATGGTCATATTGACTCTACTGGAGATGGTCATTGCCTGGCATTTGTGTGACACAAATGTTTCTTGTCACTTTTCAGCCCAAGCCTTTTAATGTTCAGGTCTTGGTGCATTTGAACACCAACTGCTTCAATTTAGATGAGGCAGCAATGGGATATAAATGCATGCAAATTAGCCTCTCACCACTCACTAACAAGATTCTCATCCTGCTGCTCAAAACTGGGTTCTTGCACATTTTCTTTCTTGATGTTGAGAACCTAATTTTTCCCAAACTTGCCATATTTTCCCAACTGAATCATCATTGCTCACATCATTTAGGGGCTGGGAGAATTCAGCCCATCCTGCTGAATGGTTTTTATTGATTTCTGTTTTATGTTAACTGGTCTCTTCAAATTAGTTGCATAAATTTGCAAAGCAGTTACATTTATGACATGATTATGAAATCATGTCTACATTCTGGGAGTATTTGTGGAATTCAGTTGCTGCTTAACTGAAGAACAGAATACAAACATTAAAATAACAATACAGAAGACAATAAAGTGTTGCGATTTCTACTTTCTGTTGACGGTTTAAATGTATACTGAAAGCTACAGAAGAACAATGGAGTCATTCACACCTCAACCTTCTGCATGGCTAACTGGCAGAGTGGACTATCCACCTGTTCTACAATTGCTTAGGTGATTAAAGGTGAAAAATTCCTCAATGTGGTCAAAGACTTGTGTTTGAAAAGGATACAGCTAAAGCAATTCAGCAAATACTGTGCAACTAATTCTGACATTTACCTGAGTTTCTTTGTGAGGTATCAGCTGAAATCTTCTTGCTGCTTGTAACATTTTGTGAAGTGGTCACAGCAGCTCCAAAAGGAGGAGGATTACTGATAGCACTTACTTGGCTCATCTAGTTTAAAGTCAAAAGTAAGATCTAATTAATCAAATTTCTCCAATTTAAAATTAAGAGAAGTAGCTATGAAGGCGAAAGGCTGTCCAATTGAAATCAAAGGCATATCTAACTCTTATTTTCAGTTTTAGCCTCATCTTTTGGGTTGCTCACTGGAAACTGAGCAGTGAAGGACAAGTTTTAATTTAGTCCTATATGACAAGTCAAACTGTATTGTTCTTCTGCTCAATGTAGTTGCTGGACATATGGATCAACAACTATTTCTAGCTTAACAGTTATTAACATTGTTGTTTTGTTCTTTGTCTCCTCTTCAATCACTCACTATTGCCCCATTCTGATTTAGGTAGTGACAATTAGGGATCTGGTGACAGTGTGAAAAAAAATGAGTGTGAGATGTGTTTGTAAATGCTGTAAATTCATAAGATTTAATCATCAATTAAAAGAGAATCAGCTTTATATTATCATGTAAACCTTCTTCTGCCAAAGGTAATCTGTGGAACTCATTACTACAAAGGGCTGCGGAGGCCAGGTCATTGAGTGTATTTAAGAGAGAGACAGATGGGATCTTGATGGGTAAGTGGTACGAGGAGAAGCAGAAGAATGGGGTTGGGAAACTTATCAGCCATGACCGAATGGTGAGCAGACTCAATGTGCCAAATGGCCTTATTCTGCCTATATTACTTATGGTTATCAAATAATACAAGGTTGTAGAAATATAATTAACAATTCGTGTTGCAATAAAAATCACTATCAGGAAACAAATGATTTCCATAAGAAATTCCAACCCAGAAAATAATTATCTCACAGTGGCAATTCTTTTCTCTCGTCAGCAACCATTTTATGGTGATTTTATCAAGGCACCTATGGTAATTTAGAACTTGTAGTTCCGTTAATAAGTTCATCATATTGATTTTTTTTTAATGAATATACCAATGTAATATTCAAAGCCACAGATATTGGTTGCTTGTATGCAAGTTCAACATTCAATATTTTCAGAGTTCACAAAATGATGATTTTATCAAATGTAATTGCTTATTGTTACATCATACTGTACTTATGAACTGAAAATTGTCTTTTTTTAAAATGTAAATATTTTCTAAAGAAACATAATCTAAATAATGTTAAAAATTGTATGGAGATTTGAGAAGATGCAATGAGGACATTATCTCCTTGAAAAGGGTCTGATATCATCATGAACATTCAGAGTAAAGCTTGAATCATTTTAAGGATGACAATATAACTCCGATATTATAATCCTGAGTAAATTGGGGTTGCATCTAATAAAGGTGAAGATGCATGCACAGGGGCTGAGATACACAAACGAAGGATTTCTTCCAAGTATGATACTCTAAACTTCAGAAATTTTAATAACTGTTCATGGATTGAAAGAATCAACAAAAGATAAGCTGTTACACACTGAAAGAAGCAGCAATAACTGTCTGGAATAAACTATTAAAGGACAAGCACAAACTTATACAGGAATTGAAAGCAATTAGCCATGACTGGAAAAACGGAGTTGAAATTACATGAACAAAACCTGCATGATAAACTGTATGCTTTATTGTCACAAAGGACAAGGACTGCCCTGCAGAGGAATTTAAGGAGTTAATCATAGGAAAGCTGTGTCTTTGAACAGACAATCAATGCCAAATGCAACAAGGAACAAAGAAGCTACGTCTGGTATGAAGGTAAACTGCAGGCTTGCAGTAATTTGGATGAACTTAAAGAATCAGCAATATAACACATCACAGATCAGAAGGACGAAAAGCTCTATAAGAATTGAACACTAGAACTCCACCCTTAGCAGAACTTTGAAGAACAAAACTGTACAAGGATCAAACCCTGGACACTTCCAGAGACAGACCATTGTTGTTTGATATCCTGGCTAGATTCTACCATTAATCAGGTAATAGCCACATTGGGTTGTGAGGCTTAACTTGCTTACTTGAGTTGTCTTATGTTGCTTACTACATGCAATAAAGTTTAAACCATTGTTTCAGTACTTGATTGTGAGATTCCTTTAACAAGTAGCTGAATTAAAGGTAACTTCTGGTGATTTACCTAAAACACAAGTTTAAAGGACGTTGCAGCAATTAAAGATAATTAAAAGTGATTTTGATGCTTCATATTTCAAGTCATGTCCAAAGAATACCCAGTTGTGGTACAAACACGTGACCAGTTTCCAGATTTGATCATATGTCATTTGCCTTGAGGGGCTATGTGCGAATGGTACAGACAAACAGTAACTATTTTAATGACATTTTATTTAATTATATTTTGGATTATTCAATGAACTACAAAGATTGCTGTCCAATAAGCATTATTTCAATTAAAATATTGTTGGCATGACACAAGGTTCAAAATTATGAATAACTTTCAGAGAAAAAAAAACACCATCAGGAGGTAGACAATGGTGTGTGAGAATCAGAAATTCCTGACCTGACTGCCATGTGATATTTTTCTTGATGAGATCCATGACCCTGCCTTTAGACGACCGACCTCCAACTGAACCAATCCTTGGGCGCACTGGAAGAAATTAATCATATTTCAGTGAGCCAAAGATTTAAAAGCAACAAAATGTTTACAGTTGAACCTTCTTTTTTTTACATTTTTATTAGGCTGCTCTATACATTAAGAGCACAAGTCGGAAACTAAAATTTCTAATGCATAATATTCTTTCCTCAAGTGTCAGAAAATGATGCAGCCTGCCTGATTATTACCAACGGCTTGGATTTCCAGACAGCAGCAAACAAATAGGCAATAGGCTTCTGTGGGCTTTTGCTTTGGAAATTTATGTAATTCAAAAACAATTTGACCTGGTGCCCTCTATCAACATTTACCAGGACAGATATGTATGCACGTACTTCCAATGAAAACTGCACAGGAAGCCGTCTTCATGAAATAGTTTGAGAACCAAAGCCCAACGATGATGATAACAGCATATTAAGACTGGTACCAAAATGCAATGACACTGATCACAGTCAGCCTTGTCAGTTTGCAACAGCAGTTCCTAGCGCTATCTTAACCTTACACAGTTGAACACAGCTAAAGTCTGCACCCATCCCCATCCCACTTCACGTTGCTATTTAAAAGGATTGTGAACTACTTTCAGGTTATTTGCAACATGATTTCTTCCAGCTCCAGGTGCAAGTATTAATGCGTTTGCAGCTTACCTATGCTTGACTAAAATTTGAATAATTTGCAGGGAGTGTGTATGGCCAAGTACTGGAATAATGAAGAATGCCCACCCAGCTGTGAAAAGAGGAAGAGGAACAGAAGGGGATTTTACGATACAATTCTCTTGCCTCAGTTTCAGTGAGGACCAATCCTCGGGATGTTTTTGCTTTATAAAAATGGTTGGCACGAAAATCCATCAACTGAGGCAGCCATTATTTCAATATCAAGACAAGGACAAGGATGTGGCTGCCATGTTGAACAGCTGTCAGCCTGTGTGAGCTGAAAATTGTGGCAAGAGGTGTGTTTTGAAGATTGCATTGGGCTAAGAGCATGAGGAATAAATTGAAGGTTTGAGAGCTGTTTAACAAAGATCAATGCCGATTGGTTGATTGGACTGTAGTGAATCAAACAAGTGAATTCGACTAATGGTGCAGATGGTAGAATAACAACAGATTCACTCACTTAGACTACATGTCAGAGGGTTAAACTTTAGTGCTTGCTGTCTGTCATGAACAGCCATTTCTCAAAATATCAGAGCCCAGATCCACTTGTCAATAAAAGCCTACCATTTCTTGCAGCTACAATGCCCCTCATCTTCGAGGAGAACAGTGTGCCTTCACGTATTGCTAATCCCTCACAATATTGGACTCCTAATGATTAGCGTGAGTCCTGTTGACTTCACACACCAATCAGTTAAAATAATAGGGCAACAGAGATTTAAAATGTGGTTGCATGGGATGAAAGGGTGCAGGTTAATCATGTACAGAGCTTCTAAAGTCCATTTTCATAAAGTAGCTAATCCAACCACATGACAGTCTGAACGAGGAAGTGCGAGTTAGGATGGTTAGCTTCACACCAAATAATGTGCAGAAAGTAAAACAGGAGAAGTTGGAACTAAAAGTTAAAATAAAAGAGGCAGAAAAAAGCTAAAATATTCTTCAAACGTTTCAATTTTTAATAGCTCCAAAATTAATTAAAATCTATAGGAATGGGTTTCCCAGTTGAAGCAGCTAATTTTTGGTGTTAAAGTGATTGTTTGACATAATTAAGACTTACTAGATATGTTAACTGTGTACTTAAACTAGAACAGACAAGCCTTAATTTTTTTTTTCCTGGTGTACTTTGTGGGCACCCTTCCATTTGTTTCCGTGCTGAGTTTTTCAGTGAGTCCAACGTAGCAAAAGTTGTGGGGAAGCAAGGCAACTCAAATAGAAAAGTTCTGATTTTCATGTTTAACTGGGTATTCTTCATGCCTCAATTAGCGGTATAATTGCAAGCTGATAATGGTAAGGGCAAGAGTCTTTGTAAAAGAAGTGGTTTTAATGCAGTTAATCCAAGTTTACCTTAAGTATCATTGCCACAGTCTCCTGAGAAGCATTCCGCACATCCTCTCCATTTACTGACAAGATTTGATCTCCTTGCATGAGCCTGCCATCAAGTTCAGCAGCTCCACCTTTAACAATGTCTGAGATAAATACTCCCGTACCATTCCTGTTGAAGTATTTACAATTCAGTCAATGAATTCGAACAATTTCACAAGATATTTTATTAGGCATGTGGCCATAACACTCCATATAATACTGATTATATGTAACATATTCTAGTAATTCTACCTTTACAAACACACATGAACTATAAATTTGAAAGCAAGAAACAGTACGGACACATTTAAAAGGAAGGCAGACAAGCACAAGACAAGGGAATAGAGTCTTGCAATGATAGATTTAGATAAGCAATAAAATGAGTAGGCTCTCGTGGAATGTAAATTTGAGCACAGACTGGTCGGGCTGAATGGTCTGTTTCTGCACCTTATATCTGATGTAATCCTACATTTTCAGTAGGATGCCTTGTGCACAAACAGCACAAGCTTCTGATCCTAAATTCTAATTGCTTGTGTGGCATAATCTTTAATGGTTAGAACACATTCAGTGCACATGAATGTTTCCAATAAATACATTTGGAGACTGAGGTGTTCAACCAGGAATAAAAAGATGCGGCATTACACCTTGAACCTAATACGTCCCTCATCTTGCTTAGTAGCAATTACCCCAATGTTATTTTTGACTTCCCTTTACAACTTAACCAGGGTAAGCAGGAAAACTACTTCCAATCCTGTGTTTGTGCTATTTACTCAAAACTGAGCAAATGGTATTTGGTAGGGAGGTTCAAGCAAGAGAACCTAATGTTCAACATTTCCTCAGGAAAACCACCTGGACTCTATTCACCACCTAGTTCAATGGCGCATTAATCCTCTTATTCCTATGATCTCATCACTATTTATTAGAGCACAAATGTATCCACACTAATGTTTTGCTCCTAGAACACAGAACATAGAATATAGAACAGTACTGCACAGTACAGGCCCTTCGGCCCAAGATGTTGTGCCAAACTTTTACCCTAAACCTAATGACTATCTAACCTCCACCCCTACTTTATACTATCATCCATATGCCCATCTAATAGCCGCTTAAATGCCCCTAATGAGGGCGACTCCACTACCCTCTCCAGCAATGCATTCCACACCCCTACCACTCTCTGAGTAAAGAACCTACCTCTGACATCTCCCTTATATCTACCTCCACTCATTTTAAAACTATGGCCCCTCATAATAGCTACCTCCACCCTAGGAAAAAGTCTCTGGCTGTCCACTCTATCTATACCTCTGATCATTTTGTACACCTCTATCAAGTCACCTCTCATCCTTCGTTGTTCTAAAGAGAAAAGCCCTCGCTCTCTCAACCTGTCCTCGTAAGACCTTCCCTCCATTCCAGGCAATATCATGGTAAATCTCCTCTGCACCTTTTCCAATGCTTCCACATCTTTTCTGTAATGAGGCGACCAGAACTGGACACAATACTCCAGATGTGGCCGAACCAGGGTTTTGTATAGCTGGAGCATAACTTCACCGCTCTTGAACTCAATCCCTCTCTTAATGAAAGCCAACATACAATACGCCTTCTTAATAACTCGATCCACATGGGTGGGAGCTTTCAGGGTACTGTGAACATGAACCCCGAGATCCTTCTGTTCCTCCATACTGCCAAGAATCTTTCCGTTAACCCTGTATTCTGCTTTCAAGTTTGTCCTTCCAAAATGAATCACCTCACACTTATCAGGGTTAAACTCCATCTGCCACTTCTCAGCCCAGCTCTGCATCCTATCAATGTCCCTTTGTAACCTAGAACAGCCCTCCGCACTGTCCACAACATGACCCACCTTCGTATCGTCTGTGAACTTGCTAATCCACCCTTCCACTCCTACATCCAAATCATTTGCAAAAATCACAAATAGAAGAGGACCCAGAACAGAAACATTTTTCAAATACAATTTTGAGGTATTATTTTAACTAATTGTATCATTGATATTCAAACAACTTACATCAAATTCCTCAAAACTCTCCACAGCAAACATTTAAAACTTAGACTGCACACCCCACCTTTCAAAACATTCACCCACAGCCCGTTCCTAAATGTCACTGAATTAAATATTTAGTTGTAGGAGTTCATTCATTTCACTTATTTATGCCGTACATACAATTCTGGTGGTTCAATAATTTGAACTAAGGGAAACAGAATTCTACCGTACTACGCCCCAATTCACATAGGCTTAGATAAGCTAAGTCATTACTTCAATTCTAAGGATAAACTGAAAAGCAAGATGAGACTGTTCTCCTTTGACAGAAGGCGGCTAAAAAGAGATCTGATTAAAAAAAATTCAAAATTATGAGAGGGTGGAAAGAAGTGGATTGGGACAATCTTACTCCTCTTGTAAAAGGATCAATAATCTGAAGGTAAAGATTTAAAAGTATTCACAAGAAAAAGCAAATGGTTCAGGTTTGGAATCCATTGCCTGGAAGTCTGGTGGACACAGGTCCAATTGAAACATTGAAAAGGGCATTAAATGATTATTCAAATTGAAACAATGCTCAAGGGCATAGGAAAGGCAGGAGAATTGTACTAAGTCATAATGCTTATTTGGACAGCTAGTGCAGACATGATGGGCAAAATGACCTCCTCCAGTGCCTTAACACTTTTTTGATTCTGTGAAGTCAAAATCTGCTCAATAATGCTTCAAACTGAGTAATTTATAAACATTCCACTTTTATAGGAAGAATGTAAAAATAATGCAAATAAAGGAGTCCATTAGATTTAACACGACTTTGCGACCTATCTTCTATAACAATACAAGGTCCGATGTACTACTACGCATTACTAGTACTGTACTGTTGTTGGTGAGCTGCCCTTGTTCTTATGTTTGTGTTGGGAAATCATACAGACAGAGTGAATTCGTAATTATTTTATAATTTGTTTAATTTTTAATGAACAGTCATTTCAACATGATTATTCATAAAAAGATACAAGATTATATTCTGGAACATTTGCACCACACAAATGCCAAACAATGATCATCTCCAATAAGAGACAATCTAACCACTGCCCCTCGATATTTAATGGTGTTACCACCACTGAATCTCCTACTCTCAGCATCCTGTGGGTTGCCATTGACCAGAAACTCAAATGGAGTCATCACATAAAAACAGTAGCTACGAGAGCAGGCAGAGGCTCGGAATAATGCAGCAAGTAACTTATCCACTGACTTCCCAAACCTTATCCATCAATGACAAGGCACGAACCAGGAGTGTGATGGAATACTCTCCACTTGCCCGGATGGGCGCAGCTCCAACAACATTCAAGAAGCTTGACAGCATCCAGCACAAAGCAGTCCGCTTGATTGACATCACATTCAGAAGCATCCACTCCCCCACCACCAACACTCAGTAGCAGTGGTGTGTATCTACAGTGTATAACAGTGTATTTACAGATGTCATTGCTCAATTCACCAAAGATCCTTAGACAGCATTTTCCAAACCCACGACTACTTCTATCTAGAAGGACAAGGCCAGCCCATAAATGGAACACCACCACCACCACCTGCAAATTCCCCTCCAAGCCATTCACCACCCTGACTTGGAAATATATAATCATTCCTTCACTGTCTCTGGGTCAAAATTCTAGAACTCCTTCCCTAATGGCATTGTGGATCAACCTACAGCACATGGACTGCAGAGGTTCAAGAAGGCAACATACCTCCACCTTCTCAAGGGAAACTGAGGACTAGCAATGAATGCTGCCCAGCCAGCAATGCCCACGTCCCATGAGTAAATAAAATAAAAACTCTATACATGATACTTTTACTTAGCACATCACCATTAGTAAAGATCTGTTCTGCAGGACTTTCAACAATGCAGTTTCTTGCTTATAATGAGCATTGCCTGTTATATGGTCCTGAAGACATATACATTCATATACAGTGTGCCATCTTAATTTTTAACACAGGACATGAAAGAAGTCAATTATTCTACATACCGCTTTCCCACAATGCTGAGGCCCAGTCCCCTGCCGACTTTCTTCTGAAGATCTGCAAGGAACACATCTAAATTCTCTTCATCCTTGTATTGTGCTTCATCTCTGAAGACAGTGAGTTGTACTTTTTGTGGGGTCTGTCTCAGTGCTGTGATGGCTTCTTCATGAGTTGCATTCCTTAAATCAATTCCATTTACCTAACAGGAAAATAAAAGTGGATTTCTCTGGACATACCTCACAGATTGAGATTTAAAATGATAAATAAATCAAATATTCAAGGACAGCTACTGGTACATTACATTAAATATTGTATAATTATATAATTAGTTCTGATGTAAAGATCGTGTCTTTTTATTTTTGTGCTTTTGTGGACTGAAATTAGAAAAAAATGGTTTTAAACAAAGGATTTATAAGGATGAGATAACACAGTAAGGAGCTGGAAGAACACAGCAGGCCAGGCAGCATCAGAGGAGCAGAAAAGTTGATGTTTCGGTTCGGGACCCATCTTCAGAAATGGATTTATAAGGATGTTTGCATGATTTCAAAGTAAGGAATTTGATTTCTGTTGTGAACTCTCTTTGTGTCGCTGTGGATTCCAGCAATGTGCAGATGAACTGTAGCCAAGAGGTTGTTTAAAAGAGAAGTTGATTGGTGTGGACTAGTAGCCAATTATCAACCTCAAATGAGCTCTGTCCCCCAACAGCTATGTGGTTGGTTGTCAGGTAGCTGAACAGCTTGGGTTGTGAGCAAGATAGAGAGAAACTCGTTAGACCAGAAGAGAAACCAGCAAGTCTTCAGCAGCTCAAAAAACAACACTCTGTGTTCTGCAGTAAGCCACTTCAAACCTGACAGCTTATCTTTTCTTCAGCAGATGCTGTAAAGTTATAACTCTGAGTTGGCTAAGTTAGAGACTCTTTATAAGTGAACCAACCACCTTGTGCCTCTTACAAGTCAGCGGAACCATTTGGAAAAAGTAAGTTCAAGGAGAAACCTTCAATTAGTAAAGTACCAACCCAATGGATTTTGTTAACAAAGACAATGGAACTCTTTCCCTAGTTCTCTCCCTGCACATGTGCTATTTGTTCCCTGTGTATATAATATGTGTGTGGAAGGGGTGCGGATTTTATGTAGAGTTTTGAGTTTTACACACAGTTAGGAAGGAAAGATCACATTTGGAATGAGACACAGCCCAAGTTCAGGATATCTGGAGGCAATGTGGGAATTAAGCACAGGGGAAAGAGGTGCTTTTTGCTTGCTTTTTTTGGTTCATATTTGTAAGGTGTTTTTTAATGGGATAAACTGAAGCCCAGGATCAGGGACCCAGCACCAAAGAAAAAGAGTTACACCAAAAGGAAAACCACAGGTTCATTGGTTGATAACTACTAATTTAACTATTTATTATAGGTTAATTTCAGCTTGAAGATAAATAGGGGAAATATGTGCAGTTGACAAACTAAAAGACCAGTAGGAAAGTTTTAAAATTAAATTTAGAACTAAGTAAGTAAAATAGATATGCCAGGCCAGTCAATGTGCATTAACTGCATGATGTGGGAGCTGATGGACCCCATTGTGGTTCATAGTGACCACATCTGCAGCAAGTGTTGGCTGCATGAGGAACTCTGGCTCAGAGTTGATGAGCTGCAGTCTGAGCTTCGAATACTGTGGCACATCAGGGAGGAGGAGAGTTACCTGGACACTATGTTTCAGGAGGCAGTCACGCCCCTGAGATTAACTACCTCAAATTCAGTCAGTGATCAGGGTCAGGAGAGTGTGACTTTGAGTGGGGCAGGAAAAGGGATCCAGAAGGCAGTGCTGAAGGAGCCTCAGCCTTGTCCAACAGGTTTGGAGATTCTTGCTGCCTGTGTGGATGAGAGTGCGGCTGTAGGGACTATGAGCAAACTGACCATAGCACCGTGGCACAGGGAGCCATTCAAGAAGAGGGAGAAAAGAGAAATATAGTTGTAATCAGGGATAGTATAGTCAGGGGAATAGACACTAGTCTCCATGTCCAGGATTGAGAGTCACAAAGACCATGCTATCTGCTTCGTGCCCGGGTTCAGGATATCTCATCTGGGCTGCAGAGTGGGAAGGGAAAGATCCAGTTGTCATGTTTCAGGTAGGTACCAACATAAGAACATAAGAACTAGGAGCAGGAGAAGGCCGTCTGGCCCTTCGAGCCTGCTCCGCCATTCAATAAGATCATGGCTGATCCTTTCATGGACTCAGATCCACTTACCCGCGTTCTCACCGTATCCCTTAATTCCTTTATTGTTAAAAAAAACTACCTTTTTTTTAAAAAACATTTACTGAAGTAGCGTCAACTACTTCACTGGGCAAGGAATTCCATAGATTAACAACCCTCTGGGTGAAGAAATTCCTTCTCAGTTCAGTCCTAAATCTGTTCCCTCTAATCTTGAGGCTATGCCCTCTTGTCCTAGCTTCACCTGCCAGTGGAAACATCCTCTCTACTTCTATCTTACCTATTCCCTTCATAATTTTATATGTTTCTATAAGATCCCTCCTCAAATGATATAGATAGTAAGAAGAAAGAAGTTCTACTGAGAGAACATGAGCAGCTAGAGGCTAAATTAAAAAGTAGAACCAAAAAGGTAATAATCTCCAGGTTACTACCGCAGCCATGAGCTAATAGGCACAGGGTCAGCAAAGTTAAGGAGGTAAATATGTGGCTTAAAGATTGGTGTGGGAGAAACGAGTTTGTATTCATAGGATATAGGCACCAGTACCGCGAAAGGAGGAAGCTGTCCCAATGAGATGAGCCCCGCCTGAATCATGCTGGGACCAGGGTCTTGGTGAATCGCATAACTGAGGCTGTGGATAGAGCTTTAAACTAAATGGTATGGGGGTGGGTTCAATTGCTTGGGAAATTATAGAAAACATTACAGAACAGGAGGTCTGGAAAGGCTTAGGAATCTAACTTTAGGCACAACAGATAAGGGGACAACTATGAGAAGACAGACAATCAATGCAGGACTGAGGGTGTTGAATTTAAATGCATGCAGTGTACAAAACAAAGCAAATGAGCTTGTGGCGCAGATAGAAATTGGCAGGTACAATTTTGCGGGCATCACAGAGACATGGCTGGGAACTAAATATCCAAGGATACACATCCTATCAAAAAGACAGGCAGATGGGCAGAGGGGTAGGATTGCTTTCTTAGTAAGAAATGAGATTAAATCAACAGCAAGAAGTGATATCGAGTCAGAAGGCTATAATTTGTATGGATAGAGTTAAGGAACCGTAAAGGAAAAACAACTTTGATGAGAGTTATGCACAAGCCTCCTAGCAGTAGTCAGGATGTGGGGAAGCAAATAAATCAGGCAATAGAAAAGGCTTGTAAGAAATACCCTATTACAATAGTCATGGGGGACTTTAATATGCAGGTGGACTGGTAAAATCAGGTCAACAGGGGATCTCAAAGAAAACAATTTGTGGAAAGTCTACGAGATGGTTTTACGAGCAGCTTGTAGTAGAGCCCAATGGAGAACAGATAATTCTGGATTTGGTGATGTGTAACGAGGCTGACTTGATTAGGGAGCTTAAAGCGAAGGAACCCTAGGCTGCAGTGATCCTAATAGGATAGAATTCACCCTACAGTTTGAGAGGTAGAAGCTGGAATCAGATATAACAGTATTAGTTAGTAAAGGTAACTACAAAGACACGAGTGGGGAGCTGGCCAGAGTTGATTGGAAGGGGAATTTAGCAGGGAAGATGGTGGTGCAGCAATGGCAGGAGTTTTTGGGGATAATTCAGGAGGTACAGCAGAAATTCATCCCAAGGAAGGAAAAACATATTGAGGAGAAAGTGAGGAAACAATGGCTAACAAGGAAAGTCAGGGACAGCATAAAAACAAAATAAAAAAACACACACACTATGTGGTGAAGGTTAGTAGGAAGCCAGAGGATTGGGAAACTTTTAAAAACCAGCATAGGGCAACTGAAAAAGCAATAAGCAGTGGAAAAGATGAAATATGAGAGTAAGTTGGCTAGTAATATAAAAAAAAAGACTGCAAGAGTTTTTTTCATATCTAAAAGGTAAGAGAGAGGCAAGAGTGGACATTGGACTGCTGGAAAATGAGGCTGGAGAAGTAGTCATGGGGAACAATGAAATGGTGGAGGAACTGAATACGTACTTTGCATTAGTCTTCACAGTGGAAGACACCAGTCGCATACCAGAACTTCAAGAGAGTCAGGGGACAGAGGGGAGTGTAGTGGTCATCACTAAGGAGACGGTGCTAGGGAAGCTGAAAGGTCTGAAAGTAGATAAGTCACCAAACAGGATGAACTACACCCCAGAATTCTGAAGGACACTGAGGAGATTGTGGAGGCATTGGTGGTGATCTTTCAGGAATTACTGGAGTCAGGGAGGGTCCCAGGGGGCTGGAAAATGGTTAATGTAACAACCTGTTTAAGAAGGGAGGCAGTACAGGGGAAATTACAGGCCAGTTAACCTGACCTGTGTCATTGGTAAGATTTTAGAGTTCATTATTAAGGATGAGATTGCGGAGTAGTTGGAAGCGCATGCCAAAATAAGGCTGAGTCAGCATGGGTTGATCAAGGAGCGATCATGCCTGATAAATCTGTTAGAATTCTTTCAGGAGATAATCGGCAAGTTAGACAAAGGAGAGACAGTGGACGTGATCTATTTGGATTTCGAGAAGACCTTTGACAAGGTACTGCACAGATGGCTGTTAGATAAAATAAGATCCCATCATGTTAGGGGCAAGGTACTGGCATGAATCGAAGATTAGCTGACTGCTAGAAGGCAGAGAGTGAGGATAAAGGAGTCTTTCACAGGATGGCAACCCGTGACTAGTAGAGCACTGCAGAGGTCTATGTTGGGACCACAACTATTTATGTTATACATTAATGATTTGGATGAAGGAACTGAGGGTACTGTTGCTAAGTTTTCAGATGACGCAATGACAGGTGGAGGGATAGGTAGTGTTGAGGAACCAGGGAGGCTGCAGAAGGACTTGAACAGGCTAGGACAGTGGGAAAAGAAGTGGCAGATAGAATACAATGTGGTTAAGTGTCACTTTGGTAAAAAGAACAGGGGTGTACGCTATCTTCTAAATGGAAAAAAAAAACTTCAGAAATCTGAAGTTCAAATGGACTGAGGAGTCCTGGTTCTGGATTCCCTTAAGGTTAACATGCAGGTTAACAGCTGGCAGTTAGGA